TATTATATTTTATTTATTTATTAAAAAAAAGCTTTTCAGTTCCTAAATTAAGGGCTCAGAAAGTTACAGAGGCTCAAATACTGGCACATCTTTAGGGCCAAATTTCTTGGTCATCCACCAAGAATGTGCTTCTGTCTCTAAGGTAGAGCCTGGAGAAGATACATTTTTAAGACTCCAACTCCAACAATTTCCTAATAAGTATGGCCACTGGGAGATTCTGACAATTGGAGTCCAAAAACATTATTTTTCCAAGTTCTTCTTGGGTCCCATGCTGGGAGAAATATATACATATATATTGGAGCACCTCACAACTTCTTTGCCTGGGATGTCTCTCCTTATAATAGAAGCTTTAATGGACTATTTTCTGCCCCTGGAGCTATGAATGATGGAGATAAATACAGTGAAGATGGCATGCTATTTGCGCACGTGCATTCAAGTCGCCTGTGCCTTCAAGTCGCCTGTCGATTTATGAGGACCCCATGAATTTCATAAGGTTTTCTTAGACAAGAAATTCTCAGGAGTGAATTTGCCAGATATTTTCTCTGAAATATAGCCTCTTGCACCTGATATTTGTTTGTGGTCTCCAATACAAATACTAACCAGGGCAGACCCTGCTTAGTTTCCAAGATCAGGCAGGATCTGGTGCCTTTAAGGTATTTAGGCCAATATGCTCTTTGCATGATTAACCAGTTAATAAAAACAGCGGTAGCAGCAGCAGCAGCAACAACAACACACTACTAGTTAAAAGCAGCTATAAGAAGACAGCACTGGGATAACAATAATCAGATTTTGGCAATGACGTGTTATTCCAGGAGGCTGTGGCTTCTTTCCTGGTTAATATGATAAAATTAATTAGATGATGTTACACTTTTAAATTCAGGAAATTTTGTTGCAGGAAGCTGGACTAAACATCAGTTTAGTGTCTTTAAACTCTGGACCTACTGGAAAATCCTAGCCTCAAGCCAGCACACTGTAATGAACATGTTCATTTGTCTCAGGGTTATAATGATATGCCCAAGTCTTTGTCCTGTTTTGACACCTAGACCATTTAAAGTTTTTGTTATCAAGGAGTTCACATAACATAATTAATATAACACAGGGCATATTTCAGAGGGAGGAGCTGGCAAAACCACCTCTGAGTATTCCTTGCCTAAGAAAACTCTCTGAAATGAATGGGGTCACCATAAGACAACAGGTGACATGAAGCCACACACACATCTTAAGTAACATCTTAAAATAACCAAGACAGTACCAGTGAGTCTAGGCACATACCTCAGACTTTGGGAAAGTTACATTTTTGTAATACAGATTCTAGACTCCTCCAGCCAGCATTATCAGTGGCCATGCTGGTTCAGGGCATATGGGAGTTGTAGTTGCAAAAAGCAATTTTTCCAAACTCTTCTTTATGGCCCAATGATCTGCTCAGTACCATCTCCAGCATAGCATGGGAGGCAAATACAAAGATAAGGGAATGGCACCCTAACACATCAGTGCTGGGAGGTGGGAGAGCAGTGAGAGAAGCTTTCCAAAAGCCCTCCCCCCTCCACACAAAAATCTGGAACTGGGCATTTTCCTTTGTAATAGATGATGATGATGATGATGATGATGATGATGATGATTCCTTTTCTAGGCTGCACATGCATGAGTCAGTGGGTGAGGGTGATTTTTCTGATGTTATAGATAGTCCTGCAAACTCTTGCTTCTCAGCTTTCTGATGGGTTTGTGTTTTTTCCTCCAGCTCATTCCAGTGAAGGGTCTCAGAAGGAGGTAGATATGCTACCAGCAGGACATAATCAAAGCAAAGCTATTCAGCAAATAGCTCAGCTTCCATGCTTACAGAAATCAATACTCCTTATTCCCATGAATGGTATTGACATATAAAGGGATTTAGATGTATGGTGGCTGCCAGCTCTCATGTTCTGTCCTAAGATTCAGTATTTAGTTTATTCTTGATGCAGCTAACAAATTTTTTTGATTATCTGCTAGTCTGGCACCTGCACACTTGATGACTTTGCCTAAACCAGGGTGGCCAACTTCCATGGGTTGATTAGGGCCAAATTTCACATATACCTCAAGTAATCATGGGCTGCACTCCCATGCTTCACAAATCTGCTGCTGAAATTAGGTTAACTCCACCCCCACCTTTTTCATTTAAGAACAAGATGCACATGGGGCATGCACCTTGTTTTGAATTTTGGTCATGCTTCCTGAAGACTTCTAGGAGTGCAGTGGTGCTTGAAAGGAAGGGTGTGTGTGTATGTGTGTGTATGCTACTGCTGTCATCAGCAGCAGCTCAAGGGCCACATTTTCTCCTGTGTACATTTTTTAAAATATCAGAATTTATTTATTTATTTATTGTATTTACATTACTCCTTTTTAGCCAACAAGGTGATGCACAACTGGCTTTATTGTTATGTGCCTTCAAGTCATTTCTGACTTATGGTGACCCGGCCTAAGTCAAACCTATCATGGGGTTTTCTTGGCAAGATTTGTTCAGAAGAGGTTTGCCATTGCCTTCCCCTGAGGCTGAGAGCATGTAATTTGCCAACATCACCAGTGGGTTTCATAGGCAAGCCAGAAATTGAACCCTGGTCCTCCAGAGTCCTAGGACATTATCACACGGGGGCAAATCTGCTGGTTAA